GTAACATTCCGAGGCTGCGAAAGCCCAGAGTGATCGTAGCGACTCTCAATCCAGCTTCTATGAATCCATACCGCTACCCTATTCAGGCATCTCTGACTTGACAACGCCATGTCTCTTTTGCTAGGTACAGGGTGGCCCGGCAATGGTGTGCTGGGTCAGCATTGCTGAGCCACCCTGTGCCTGGCACCCGCCGAATTCTATTTTTCTGTTTTGCATATTTTAATTTCACATACATTTTGTGGTTTTGTATGCAAATCCGAGTGATGAACCAGTCCATTCAGTTTAGCGAAACTCTTGAAGCTTTCTACTCACCACATCTCCACCATATCATTACAAACCAATGGAACGATTAACATCGACATCCTAAACGCCCTCAATTTTCCTCCCACATGGGTTCCCGGTCCGTATGACATTTTCAAGGATTGGCACTGAGGACGATCCTGATAGAGAAGACAAGTTAAGAATGACGACGTCCGACTCGTTAATATCATCAAGAGGAGAATGACTGCGAAGACAAGGACATGAACGTATCGGTCAGAACTTTGGATGGATCGTCAAAGACGAGATCAGACTCAAGCCTTATCGTCTTCATCAGTACTTTCTATGGAATAAGAGTAAAGCGACATGTGTGAAGAGTTGCCAAAGTCTGCTGATCGGACATACACCGGAGAGTACCTACGTACCCTCTCTTTGGATGAGAAGCTCGTTTACCTTGAGGCGGTCTTCATTTTTTGAAACAACAGCACGGATTCCATTGCAGAGCCATATCCCTACGCCTTAGGTATTTAAGTTGAAATCTTCACACTTACTGGCTTCAATCGGTACGCCACCATGCAGTATCGAACAAAGGCAGTGGATACATTAGAGAAATCAAAAAGGCGTATCCACTGCATCACATATATAGATAGCCATTGTTGATGTCACTAAGAATCAAATACGTGGCGCAACCAATTCATTCCATTAAAGCTGACTATCACGCGTATTTTATTAATGTGTTCCAATGGTCTATGAATAAACCCCCAAAGTTCTCCGAAAGTTTGAGATATAAACGGTCATAACATCCTGAACAAAGTGTTTTCAGCCGATGTCATCAGATGTCATTCTACAGGCAGCCCTAATAACACTTCTAGATTTGAGAGAAAAAGAAGAAGTTGAAAATGTGGCAATACCTCTTGAGTGTGGGCCGAACATTCAATTTCCTTCCGATATCACGCAGGAGTTCCATCGCTTGTTTCATCTGGACTACACTCAAGGGCAAGCCTAAAATCAATGATCCAAAATAAAACATAGATTAGTAGACGCTACCATAAGTTCGAGCGATTTGCCAGCCAGTTTTCCTCGATGTGATGCTTTAAAGTTATTTTTCCGCTGCGTTCCCACGAACAGAAACAGAAAGAAAGGAATGATGAACAAAAGTCAAAGCGAAACATGAGAAAATAGGAACCGACCCTTTAGTCAAAATGTCACTGCCCCAGTGATGAGTACAAATCATCAGGACTTTGAAAGTGATCCGTAAGAAAATCTGAGACGCAGAACAGTAACCACAGAGATTATGGCGCCCCTTACTTCATGAACACAAAAAATATTGATAATAATCGGTTGCATTTTGGCCTTACATTTAGTGAAATACCAAAACAGATGCTTTTCGAAGGACAAAGTAGTTGGTCGCTCAGGGTGTCGTCATTGAACGATCAACATTCAAGCAGTCGAATTCGATCCGCGGCGGTAGCAGCTGTAGTAAGGGCGGGTAGGAAGTTGAAAAATGGGCGTAAATTACTTAGAAGTTGGATGTTGCTATTTTTCAGGGCAAATGGCATCTCGACCGTGTGGGTGACTCCCGGATACCTTACTGTGTTAGTGAAAGGAAGGCACCATAGGAATTACCCACACGAGTTCGAAATGCAAGGGAGGCTCGCAATGCGGGCAAAATTGAGACAGATTATGCGTACATACAAAACACACACACGCACACACACATACACACATTTGGATTCTAAACTAAAAAATCTGGATGATGTGACTGATAATTACCGGAAACTACTTAAGCTGAATAAGCGGTACCACTACTCCACGTGCTGCCAAAATTACATCCTGGGCGGTCAAGCAAGCCCTTTCCAGGACCGTCTAACTGGTACCACTCTTGTCAGGGAAAATGAATGTTCTAACATATAATAATGGTTGCAACCATAATCATTATAATACATGCTATATACGCATCCAAACATCCTCAAAATTTTGAAAATAAGTTGAGTGCACTGGGCGAACTCCAAACAGGACTGATCAAGCATGAAAATGCACATTTGACTCATACATGTACATTAACCGTGAGAACACCCCTCGATTTCAACACTCAACACATCCCAATGCACTTGGGTTAGTCAGAGCTGTTCAATTACATCGTTTGCCAACTACGAGCTCCTTTTCCCAGTACTTCCTAATGAGGACACAACCGGTTCCACTATCCTTTGAGCGTTCTCACAGCCATAGAGACATCAAAGATCTTCGTCAACTAAATCGATTCATGTTTATACGATATCCACTTACTTGCTATTCGCTCAAACCATGTTCCATGCAATTAAGTGAAGAAAAAAATCAGAGTTAACCGCAGCTCAGCGCCCAATCACCTCAAGTGAAGCAATTTTTAGGAAATCCCTTCCCATCTTTTCAATGAGAAGCTGAAAAGATCAAGGTTTATTCACGCGATACATCGATTTACAACCGAACCAGTGTCACGAGAGAAAACGACTTGCTTTTTTTCGAATAAAAAATCAATGAAATAGGCTGGACAAATAATAGACTCTGCAAAATGCACCAAAATAACAATGTGGATGTGAGAGAGACAGGGACTTGCTGTGCCATCTAGCGATAAAATTGAAAACAGTGTACATACTCGGAGAAAAGCGGGGGCGTAAGCACTAGCTGGGTGCAACGAATCGACGAGTAGTGTGCATGGCTGAGATTTGAGACTTGCCCAATGGAGGCTTGCTAGTGTTTACGCCGTGTTTCAATCAACTAAAAATACATAATAAAACAAGCGCACAACTCTTAACAACCTGAACTTTAAGTATAACGCTATAGGCGTCGATCTTTGTACGTCGTCCGTCAACAGTTACAGAAATTACGCGTTGCGGCTGCGGCGCATCCGACCAACGTTCACGGGGCAAAAAAGCATCATGATACAATACACATATGGAGATGTCGGAGTAATCATAGAAATAGTAACTAGGACGGACATGGCAACGAGAGTCGAATTCAATGGAGGAAATCGCTTCAGCCTTACAAATACAAAATAGGAAGGGAACAAGATATGTGGTCAGGATGACGCCACCACTGCGAACCGATTCACCCCAGCTGATAGTTGCAAGGCACCAGAAAACTTCTCTGATTTCAGATGGGTTAGCGTGAGGAAAGCGTAAGGTTTCTGATGAATCACCCGAAACGAGTTCACTTCACACCCCAATTGACTTTATGCGAAATCCTGTCATCCACAAAATTGGATCGATCAGTTCGAAAATGCAGTCCAAAACCAGTGCAGTGACGCCATCAGTACCGGGAGCGATGCAAATTCCAAGAGAATGCTGTCATCGAGACCAGCTCGAAACCACAGTTATCTGGACATGTACGATCAAAACAGAATTATAAATAGCATCGAATTGAATATGTGAGAAAAAAGGAGAAAAAATAATGTGGAAATAGAAAATATTCAAGAACTGAGGTGGCGACAAGATCAGGATCCATATAAAAAAGAAAAAAAAAGGAAATTCTACACGATAACTAGACTAAAGATAGCTGCCAACAGGGGAAGACGAGGAACTAGCCAAATTATCTTTTTTTTTNTTTTTTTTTCTAGTAATAAATGAATATAGATCTATGATTGATGTGATTAGAAGGGCTATAGAAGTTCACCGACACGTTTCGATCGACCGATCATGCGCTACTCTACATTTTCGTCCTTTTCAAGCCCATGCCGTTCGGCAAACTCAAACCGTTGATTAGTTGCTGTGCTTGCGGTATATACATACTGGTATGTTGAGTAGACAGTAGATCGACCTAAATCTTGAACTATGAAGTATACAGTCTAAAAATTCAATTTTCCATGAAAAGTGAGAAAGTAAGAAAGAGCAAAGCACTCAGCAGCGTTGATCAATCCGATTTGGCGATGTGCTACACTCTCAGTTTACTACTACTCCTTTAGCACCGCAGTAACGTAGGGATTGATATAAGACCCTTACATGGGCAAGAGGAGATTAGCCAATAAATATTTAATGCATCGTTTTATTCCTTCTACACGTCGGGAGTGGGTCATGAAGTGTCACCGGGGTCGCATCATCGAGTCTAGGTCGCCAAAAGCGAGAGGACCCAAATCAGAGCCTCGTATATCTTATCGAGGTCAAATCCTATATTTGGGACAACCAAGCTTTCATTGCTAATTTTCATTTTCTACCCCTCCCACTACCACGATACCAAATCCCTGCGGGAATTTTTAAGTAAGGTGTATCCCAAATTGGGATCGATCAACACCGACCCTTCAGAGTAAGAAATAACAAATCAGAAAAACCTCAAACTCAACCATAACACATATTTAAAACCATACCAAGCAGTTAGCAATATAGTACTCTATGTCCATCTTTGTCCTCTTCCGAACTAAAATTTTTATTCTTTTTCATTTGCTCTGCTGACACGACTTTTAAAATAAAATGGCGCGTTTAAGCGAAAGTCCTACTTGGCGCACTGCCGCCTGCTGATTACCAATGTCAATGGGGCAAAGAGTAACGTGGATTTTGCGTTTCAACAATTTCAAATACGTTGCCTGCTCTGTTCCGATGAAAGACGCCCCTCCCCTTACCCACTTACTTGAAAGCGCTTCCTCTTGCCATAATATTAAAGGGTGGTTAGTTATGCTTCAAGAGGATCCTTTTGCTCCAAAGAAAACTTTCAAGTTCATATATGGGCCATTCGAGTCATCTTCAGTAAACCCTTTCAACTACGCAGAACTAAATCTAATCAGAACATCGACCATTCGGCACCAATGCAGCAATATAATCTCTTCCTAACCTACCGAGTAGATCCGAGACGGCAACCATCTTAGGTGAAGCTTATAGGACTGACCGAACCCCTTCCCCTTGCTTAGACAATCTACAAGGTCTTGTTTGAGTAACTCAAAATATTCAAAACTAAATCTTTGAACCCCCAAGGAGCCATTGAAACCATCCTTTTTCCTACGCGAAACCCCTAAATGGAAAGTGTTCAATGCACTAATCCCCAATACGTTCGATGCAAAGCAAGTGAACTTTAAACTTGTTGTCTTACTGTAGCGCTCCACATTAGAAAGATAGTTTATGTCAAATTCACTATCGCAACCGCTTCCTAACCTGCGCTAAACTCAACGACTGAATCTTACATCAACTGGTGATTCGGCTCGTAAATCGGTGCTGAGTGGCATTCCCTTCAAGCACACACACCGAGCTTCTCTTTCCCGTAAAAGAGCCGTTACGCGCTCGAGTTCTCGTCGAAGAACTTGGTTCTGTGTCTGAAAAACGTCACTTTAATGCACCTAACAGATCAGACTAAAACCGAACCCACATTCAGCTGCACTTTTTCCTGTTCCAATGTATGTACGCGGGTGATCATGTCGTCATGTTCCTCCTTCTTTCGTTTTCTATAGCGAACGGCTGCCGCCTTATTTCTCTCGAGGATCGTCATCCTGCAGCTATAATGTAGTCAGAAGCAAAGCGATAAAATATTGCAACAGAGCAGATGCAGAGATAAAATATGAAATCATAAAGTCCGTCCCAAATTCAGGTCTTTTAAATGAAGAGATTCCACCGCCAGGATATCAATCCAGCAGAGGAAATGTGGGAAAAAGGACGTATAGGTATCACTCAATCCTATACTCATATTCAAAGAAACTAAAAGTGAAAGTTGGTCAGCAGAATCCATCGCCATCTTCGCAAGACACCCAACATTTTTTCTTCTGAAAGACTCTTCCTTTTTTACTTCTTTATTTCATGTCTTGTTTATCTCCGTATCTTTTTCGGTTATTCGTATGAATACGATAAACAAAAAAGAAAACAAGGATCAGGCGGAACAACGTTCCCTTTGAATAGAATATTTGTCGTGTCATTGTTTCCTAGGAAAATACTGGATTTGACGAGCATTAAGACAGGAACAGAAGAGCTCGTCGGACGAACTGATCTAGTTTTCAAGGGTTGATGGCAATGTTTGACCTTATGGCAACGATAAACTACCAACGAAACGAAAAGTGACACACTTCCTTTCATCAGGGAGCATATCAGCGGCGGACGATGCTCTTCCTCGACCACGTCCTCGACCAGTGCCCGTTGGAGGTGGCACCTCTCGTTCAGCACTGAAACTCAATGATATTAGAGAGCTATCCAAACCATTGAATTCAGTTGAGATGTAGGTTCTACTCAGTCCAGCTTTTATAATACCACCACAGCGCGGTTCAAACAACCCAACGCCCGCCGTGAACCGAGTTTAGTAGCCCAGTAGATAACTTTCGGATTTACAACATTCGTTGTAGAACATAGGAAGAAAAATTTGGCGCAATTCACTCAGGACTGCCCCACCCGACACAGTCGCGAGGTTGACGCTTGCTTGTCAATCCAGCAGCAACGGTTGAGGTTGGACCCTGGAAGAATCTTCACTGATATATCTCATCCTAACTGTTCACCGTAAGCCACTGCATAGAAAGAAGCCAATAACGTTTGATTAGGGTGCGAGTTGTTAACGCAAGCGACACGTTTCTGCAGCAAATAAAAAAGAATAATATTACTTCACGTCGTGTTTGTCGCAGAAAAGTTCAATTCCTGATCTCAAGGGACGCACTCCCATTCAAACACAGATAATGTAGTGAGCGCTCAGTGCTGGAGATAGAACAGGTGCAGAAGCTTGTAACCCTTCAGAGGGAAAAATAAAATCTACTAGATGATCGGAACGTTATCAAAGAGGGAATAAATTAGAGTTAAGATATATCTGACAAGCCCCGACCTTGATTTCCCTGAGCTCCGATCATCCAAAGAAAGCAGTTGAGGAGCACCCGTGGATGCAACTGTTGGAGGCATGGTGCCGCAGTTCGATGATGGCATTAACGTGGTTTCTTCTTGTTCGAAGTACTGAGGGGCATTCTGAAAAAATTTAAATCTATATCCCCAACGGAACCAGTCGAGTAGTATCCCTGTAAGGATATGACCTCAGAAGGGCATGGCATACATAGTACTATTGGATACAAAAACCACTGGCCAAACGCTCCACACAAGCGCAAAAAGCAAATGTAAATTTGCGACCGGCGACTGTCTCTTTCAGCACAAAACGATCCAATATGGAGCTGATTGAACTTACGTGTTTGCTGACGGCCGGCTTCACATCACGTGGGTCCCAACTGGCCGGGTCGACACCAGCTGCAGCCGCTACTGCAGTTGCCGCAGAATGCAGAGCCGAAAGGAGATGAGCTTGGGAAGCCGCTGGCGTCACTACTTCTGATTCACCAGACGGACGCTTTCTGAAAAAAAAANAAAAAAAAATGACCATGATTGCAATAACTGCAATCGTCACATCTTCAAAGGTACACCAAGAAAGAGTTGAAAATTGCGAACAAACAAATCATGTTGAATGAACTTATGCTCACTCAAGCACAGGCTGATCCTTCATGCTCCGAGGTGACTGCACCGGGCTTATCGTAACACTTCGTGGCGGAGGTGCCAGTAGCCCACCGCTTGTCGACGGAACGCATTGAGCAGCGGCAGCCGTTGCCAGGATTCCAGCAGAGTTCGGAGCAGATCCGGACGGTGTCAACGAAGAAAACATTGAAAAGTCCGGTCTGAAAGGAGCTGTTTGAGAAAAAACCCAAGGAATCCAATAATCAATAGCCGAGTCAATCAATAGGAGTCCAGCTTGAAAAAAGTATTGGGGCAAACAGAAAATGGCTGAAACACTTATAGCGAAAAAAAAAATGTTGTAACCACTCTACCGAGCATTTTCGACTAATGATAAAAGAATGAGAAATTTCGGTGTCGGAGAGCGAACTGCTGTTTTCTCACGACTGCAACAATGGAGCTGTGGAAAGAACCCCAAAATCCGTATAGAAAAGGATCAAAGAACAAGATCAACAGCCAAAAAAATATACTCCTGCTCTTCGATTTATAACTGCAGCCGAGAACACTGATTTGTGCTTTTTCACGATACGAAGAAGGAGAGAAACAGTTTAACTGCATCTCAACCTGGTCGAGCCTTTGTTGCGGTTCAAAATTCCCACGAATACGAATGCGGCAATCTAAATTATTGCATACACCTTCACAACTCACCATGTGCTAGCTATATGTGAAGAAAAGTGAAACAACCCAGAAAAAAAAACGGGGGAAAGGGGAGTGGGTGTGCGTAAATTCTCACAAAAAAAATTTTTGGAAAAACAATAAACTTTGTGTAACGTCAAAATAACTTTGGAATGAAAATTTGAAGAAATCATGCAGCGATTAACTTCTGACAATGAAAAATCGAAGAATATACCGTGAAACATTGAACATCACCCACTTATTGATATAATTAATCGTGTGCAAACGATCCGAGTGCATATCAAGAACCGCATTCAACACATCGGCAGTTCTGGGTGCCTGCTGGGTGCCAGAACCGTCTGTGCTTGACGAACTCGTTTCCCTCATCTGTGATAATTTCGCATAGATGACCATAATCATTTCACTTGGAGAAATTTACTCACTTGAAGCAATAGCTTGGATATATCGGCAGTTTTAAGGTTCTCATTGACGACTCCGTCAGCATCCGTTTGCAGAATGCTGATATTCGAGAAAATTCCGGGGGATTCCGATAGGGATGAAGGCAGTTTTAGCAATGAGAAAGCTGAGAGATCTAAATTACTTCATTTTAAAGTAATTTTAAATCATTGGAGTACAAATCACTACCGTTAGTACTCGGCAGCGACATCGTGGCCGGGACGAGACCATTTGCCTCAAGAGCACCCGTGGTTAGCTTCCTGTTCGCTTCCCGGAACTTTGCTTCAAAGGGATTCACCGACATGCATTTCTGCATCAGTTCGGCAGTTAATGGAAAATCTGAAAACAATGTTCAATCAATTCAATGTCAATTTTTTCTCAAGCCATCGATTTTAAAAAATTGTAGCGAAAAATGTAATCGTTAAGATGGGCAATAACATAAGGCTTGTCACTGACAAAAACAAACCCATGTGGACAAATAAACTGGGTATCACCAATATGAAAACGTTTCCGTGATCATTCCGATGACTTAAGCGCTGGTCATTCAAACCTTGCAAAAGCAGAGCAAACATAAGCCGTCTGCGAAGACCGAATTTTGCAGGATGTCCTGACATGAACTTGGTTGTTTACCCACGAAATGAGCCTGAGACATAGGCGCTGAAATTCTAGTTCCAAACCTAATGAATACCATTTAAAGTGCTAATCTCAAAAATATAAGGTTAATCCTGACGACAGTCCCAGCGCTTGAAAACGCTTTCGCTCAGATCTGAAACCAAGTGGTGTTCAGAAACTTTGAATTACGATCTTGCCCCTCTCTCAGACGTGCGTGAGACTCCCGTGGGATCCGGAATAAACAAATCCTTCCCTTTTCATTTGACTCACATTTCCTGCTATATTTATACTCCCAAGCGGAAATCTGCTAAATAAGGATGAGATTCTTCCGTAATTCCGAACGTGAAAATGTTGATATGTAAGTTAAAAGTACTAAGAAACACGAAAAAGCGTTCTTGACCCCTCTTTAAAAAGAGGCTGTGAGAGGTTTCGAAAATTGCTTTTGTTGAAAAACCCGAAAATATCTCCTCCGTACTTTGGACCCTCCTGATGAACAAAACAGTGTAAATAACAGTTGTACCTCGGCATGATCATTGCGGAAAAACGTAAACGATCCTTAATGACAATGGTAGCACAGCGCAACATGTGGGCAGGTCAATCCTGTTGTGCGGGTTGTATTGCAGCAATGACGAAGTGGCGAATTCCAAGTGGATGGCCGATACGTCTCACTTTGACACCACACATCACACTTCCACATCAAAGGTCGATTATAATTCACGACCCGTTTGTCAGATAAATGGCATCTACGCAATTGATTACAAAACCCAGGATCATGAATAAAAAAAACGCAAAAATTTATCGGAAAAACGGGAACATGGCAAGCAATGATTTCTTGGCAGCCTCTCATGCATGCGGCAAGCCGGCACGCCTGCTGAGAGGGTCACTTCCTGCCTTGCAGGACTTGTCACTCTGTTTGCAAAGCTTTTTTCTTACCGCAATAGAATTTCACATGGAATACTAGGGTGTCCTACTTCCAGGGCGTAGAAGTTTTGAGAAAATAACACCTCTCAACTGAGGAAACATGTTCCCCAACACGCTAAAGAAGGACTACAGAGCCGATGGCAGAGAAAGGGCGTTGTTGATAGATCAGTGCTACAGCCGTTCACATCGTCGCTGGAAATAAGCAGTCTTCGACCGAACTACTTGCGATCGACAAGGCTACCGGTGCCTTTTGCTTCACCGCCACGAACTGATTTATGCTGTCGCGATTTTATACTGCTTACTCATAGAAATTATAGATTGAGATTATGAATCATGTTATGCGAAACTGACTTGATTTCAGCTTCCAGGATACACATGACAAAACACCATACAAAAGCGCCTTCACAGCTGGCCGTGGAATGCTTACTGCGACTGTCACCCCAATAAAGAAGTCGTCCGAATCCAGCCGAATTGCCAGTCTTACACTTTTAGTTTACATGAATCAAGCTTTACACGGTTGAATCCCCACTTAATCTGTGCTCTTGCTTCATGCTTCATTACCCCTGCTTAAGCCTGCGATTTTTCGAATACTTACTACTCGGTCAATCGCACAAGTTTGAGGTATCCAATAACGTATTAGTGACAACCTTTCGTGACGGCATAAATATGTATGCACATATCTATATCGGCAATATACTGCGTCAGTATCGGACAAGACGACCGATATATCCACAATACTGGAGGGCATCAGTGGTCGATATAGCCGATATAATCGCTTCAACACTGAAGCTTGGAATGAGTTATGGTGACTAGTGGGCTGTAGTGACCCTCTTTTCTCACCTACTATGAATGCCACCGTCGCCTCCTCGTAGGAGAGATTTGTTTCGGCGAATCTAGTCCACTTTCCTCAGATACCGACCTGTTCTAGCCTCCCATGAAAGCAATGCCGCTCAAAGTTGCAGGAAATGGAAAACATATGTTCACTCCCCATTCTATCATCCACGACATTCTACGCAGAAGTCCCTAACAAGGCAGGACTCTCTGCAATTATTCCCCACTCCCAATTGAGCATGAGTGTCGAGTGCGAGTCGATGTGTTTCAGAAGCTCCTCGACCGTAAGTAAACGTCGACATGGACAGGAATCATTACAGCACAGAATGAAAAAAGGATGTCATACGAAAACCCACGCAGAAAATAGCAGTGCCCACCTTTGGACGGAAGGACTCAGCCCGCTCCAGAGCAAAACGAGGCGCTCACCTCAAAAACAACATGACCTCAATCTTCTTCTCAACCAGGTGTACTACCATGAGATCCTATCAGAGTGTAATGTGTTGACCGCACGAGCATTCTGTGCTAAGAGATGATGGTGTTTCGATCCCCCAGTTCACACCAATTACAACGCCGTATTTGATTATGATATATAATGCTCGACCACCTCACGCGAAGACGTCGATGAGAGGTCTGGAAAGACACGGTATAAGCAGACTACCCCATTCAGCAGATATTCATCTAACTTCAGTCTTCATTACGACCAGACTTGCAGAAGCCCACAACCTCTGCACTTAAGGGGAAAGGGAAAAAATCAGCAATCGACAAGGAGTGAAGTAGACAGTAGATGAATGAATCGCGTTGTGCACCTTTTCCTTCTGAAAGAGCGGCACCATTACCCTGCCTAACAGTGGAGAAAAATTGCGGCTGAGAAGGGACCACTACTCTGATTACTGAAACAACGTTATTGTAATAGTTACTCTGTTCAAAAAACACCCGACCGAGTTTTCTCAAAACTTTCGGACGACCTAATTCGACGATTCTCAAAGGAATGTTTGTGGAGCAAAATTCCAGAAATAAATTGGATTTTTCAAAAATTGTAGAAATCCAGCAAACTCTACAGAGATGTACATAAGTTTGGAAAAAGGACGCAATCAGCAAACACAAAAATGTTGATAGCTACCTCCGAGCGGCGTTGTTCCTCCTAGTCCAAGGAGTCTTTGTGGATTCGGAGTCTCCAATAAATCTACACCAGGTGACACGTCACTCGTTACGATTTGCACTCGCTGAAATGTCAGCGATAAAAAATAATTGGAATGATGCAGAATTTTGAAAAAAATCGATGCGAGCTCACAAAAGGAATTTCTACTAAAAGTGCATCCACTTGAACAAGAGAAAAACCAAAAAATCGCTTTATAAACTCGTCCATTATCGAATCCTATCAGGCAAAATCTCAGCAAGAGTAGCATACCACTTCTTCTATTTCTGCATTACTTACACATCAAAGACAAAACCAAGTAACAGTTAAGACACAGGATCATTGAAAAACGATTTGTCCTGAAAACAACATCAGACGGTTCATTTCAGTAAATTTATGCCAACTTTTTACATGCCTATTTGGGGACCTCCTTGCCGCGTTAGCGAAAGGTTTGACAAATAAAAAGGGCTTTCATGTGATAAAGTATATCAGCATGGCAGATCCCCTGCAGAGTGATCATCCTCATGTACTTCATTGACAGTTCACCACTGCTGCAAAGATCTCCACAAAAACGTGTCCTAATGACGTTCTGATAATTAGATCAACTTCGCATTGACGTCAGGTAGAAATAATTGCGTCACACCTTCTTATCAACTCCATCCCAAAAGATCGTAGCAATTTCCACGAAACAAAAAAAAAACTGATTTTTAGTGCACTTCAACTGGTATGGTTTACACTTCGAAAGGGAGCGGTTCAAACGTCACAACAGTTCATGAAATACAGAACAGAGAAATTCGGTCGATGTTATGCAAAGAACTTTTATGAGAGATAGCCTGCGATGGAATTTTCCAACCAACGAACGACAATAACCTAAAAAAGTCAACAGAATGACGCTTGCGTCACTGACGTCACATAGACGGGTAGGAACCAGTTGGCGCATGGCGAGATGCCAATGCGATTCTCTTCATCGACGTCACCGAGAGAGAACACCTGGTCGCAATGATGATGGGCGCAGCAAACAGAGCGCAACAGAGAGACTCGCCAACGAACTGCACAGTTTAAGCATAGAAACAAACTCTCTACTTAATACACTCACAGCATTGTTGCCGTTCGACTATGACGGAAACTGGGGGTCGCTGATCACGTGGGCAATACGGAATAAAAATCGGAGAGGTACAAAGCCATGTATTGATGAATATAGTTTATTCGAAAAAGTCGATTATAGTGGCGGGATATGTCATTCATGTCAGTAAAATGGACCTTCCGATACTGGACTCGTCCTTTGACTATTGAACATCGAAAAGTTACTCATTTAATGGACGAGTTCATGGTAGACAGAAGACTCCCTCTCAATGAACATCATATGCGTTGATCCCACTGATTTCAACGACAAAAGCATGACTGGAAAAAATCTTCAACGTAGATTTATACCGCTTTGGTATACGCCCATGACACTCGGCAGAGTATTCGGTTAGCCACCAGTTTCTGTAAGAGCCTTTCTAGACGAATTTAGAACCCAAAACAGGCAGGTTTCTTCAGCTTCAATAAGTCTCGATCCATTGCTCTACAGCGAAATCGATAGTAGCGGCATCCAGCCTAAGTTCAACTCCTTTTGAAACGCTACTAAAAACACTAGAAAGAAGGAATGCCTGCTTTAGCTGCAAATCAGAGCTTGACGGATCGATGGAGACATTTTTTCAAATCCCCCTTTTGTTCCCTAAGATCATCACTGCGGCCACACGGGGGATCTTGCAGTTCTCCAATGTCTGTCACAAGATAAAACTGAACTTTTATTTCGGGTTGAAATCGAGTTCCTAAATGAAACAGCAGAAACTCGAAGTTCAAAAAATGACGTGACGACAAACCAGGAAATATGGGACTCAGTCAGAAAAGTTGTGTCTCCCTACCATTACTCCAACAGACCATAACCTCAAATTTTGATTTCATTTAACCTAAGCTACGTCTCACTAAGTGTGTTGTCGTTTCTTTCACTTCCAACTTACACGCATAAATCACTTACATTGGCGACAGATGCCTAAGCAAAGGCGTGAAAGTAAGCAGATAGCATCAAGATTTATCTATTGACAACCATAGAGAAAAAACAGAAACCATCGAGTTCTTGTCCAGACAGCCTCGCGCATACAAAGTGAGCGAAGGCCTACGATATGCCCAATCTACCTACTTAAATCGTACCAAGTAAACTGTGAGGATGGCCGCATTCTCACTATCACCGCATTATGCCTCATTCCCCATTTGCCTCAAAAACGTAAAGTTACTTAAAATGAGAACTCTACCGCAACGTGCGCTTATTAGCAGTATCGAACCACCTAATTTGAAACAATCGTGAATAAAAAAGCACAGGAAATACAGGGTCTTCCCTGAGTCTTCCAATCAAAGCCCATAACCCAAAGAAAGTCTCCAGGACTTTTATTCATTGCTAAACAAGTTGGTTAGATGGTATAAAATTTGGCCGGGAATATAGAAGTACTGACCAGTACATCAGCCGGTCACCACAAGTCATTCTCTTGTACTACTTATCCAATACGCCATTAAGATTCTGAACAGCGAATCATTTGGTTTGAAGGATCGGCTTCGTACACTTTTCACATATATCTTATCGGTTTGTTTTGCTTTATTTCTGTACCTATTCTTTAAGATTAATCTGAATTTTCTATTTGACCCCGCAACTCTTCCGTTGAAGTGTCTCACTTGGTTGTGGGGAAACGTCCTGGTCTACCAACTAAACAATCTTTTGAAACCGAGCAATCAAGGCGCTCCTTTTCTACCCTCGGCGGCAATTCATTCAGCAACAAACGCTTTCCCACTGTCAGCAAACTTTTCGATCGATAAAGTGCCTCGTACTGGAAACAACTCCACAAAACTCGACTCTGTACAAGAGGGATGGGGCTAAATTTGTCTTCACAAGGAATTTTTCCCTCGTAAGGAGCTTAACAAAACGAATGCTGGCGAAATGCAGCAACACATGTGGGAGTTTCCGGGGGGATTTTTCTGTGATGGAAGACATATTTAAAAAAAAAGCTAAAAAGTTATGTCTGCGAAACGCTGCTTTCATCATCAATAATGTACACATTCGTGGCTTGGTGCTTTACCTGGCCCATTAGTGGTTCCTCTTACATTTTAAGAATGCTTAACATAAGCCTTTGGCAATACAACTTGGACACAAAATTGTTAGGCAGAGAAGTACAAATACCGTCAATGCGATTTAACCAGAAACATTAACTTACTTTTGGAGCAAACAAAAGTTGTCAGAAAAACAGAAATCGTTTTTGAGTCTCGCATGCCCCCTTTAACTACAATACGCAAACAATCGTCTTTCAAAAACATGCGACGAAATGGGGAGACTTCCTGGTAGAGCTCTGACATCAAACTACTTGTCGTCTCAGCAATGACTAAAGGAGATCATGCGTTTAAACCTGGAATTCAGGAGATGAAGTCTCGAAGCTGCTTTATTTAAGCTCTTTACAAAAAATCAAGCTGTCCCTTCATAACAACAAAGTATTCCGATGATGACGACATGCTTACCTTGTCAGTAATACAAGGATTGTGATACAAGGAGTGTCAGTGTCAGTAAGGTGCAAATTCTTGAACACTGATAGTACGTACAAAGAAAATCCAAAAGCGATCTGATTCAAACGAAAATATCGTCGAAGGCCCAGAAAACGTACATAGGGCCGTGCATAAAACAACGCACAGTGATTTCTACGCAGCTGATAACCATCTCCAATTAGGGCCTTATCAGCCTTCACACGTCACGACAACCGGTGCTGAACAGCGTTATCTGCCGCACTTCCCTCGCTCGCTCCCCTTAGAATTACCTACGTCATCAAAAACCGAAAAATCATATGCGTAGACAGCAAGGAGTTATTAAAACCCTTATCACATAGTGATAACATGCTGTCCAAGAATCCTTGAAAACATACATCAAATTGGTCTCTACAAACTCTATAAAACTGATTTTTTCCAACGGTAATGCATTCTGCACCCTAACTCACGCCTGAACTTGCGTCCCCTTCTCATTCCTTTCTTTCTGTAATTGACCTTCACCTGCCCCTTTGAGAACACGGGTCAGATTGCTGTGAGCTTTCGGAACTGGGTCATGAGCAACACCTACAAACCTCTCGTCACTAGGAATTGGGCACACCGCTCGCTCATTCACTGACTTTTAATATATTCTCATCAAGACGTCAACTATAGAATCTTCATGTAGACCAACCGGTATTGTTATGATGGGCAATAAAATACAAATGTAGAGCCATCACAAAAAGGATATGAAACAAAACCTAATAGGTAATGCAGAAATAGCGAATATTTCAAAGTACTGATGTATGAATCAGCACAAAATGAAATTTAATGTCCATTATTGAGTCATCGCCAAAAACGCCGGAAAACAATCGATAAATCAAAATATTGGAAGCATAAAAAGGGCTGAGAAATCCTCAAAACGGCATGGAATTTGTCTGAGCTCACCTTCTCTTTGTTGAGCGTTGAAGCAGTAACCGCATGACCATTTGAAGTGACTATCGACGACATTTTCGGAACTGGAAAGGCCAAGCGCCCGGAATCAGGTATTCATCTTCAGAAGTCCTTTCTAAAAATAGGGAACAGCTGCTTGTTTTCGACTCAGCAACAATCAATTAAAAAAAACACACACTCAAACTCAGATTATAGCATGGCACGGTAAAAACCAATACGTAAAAGTATCAAAGCCGTGTGGACGAAAAGAACTTTATGCTCAAATAACAACAAAACAACAATAGAAGAAAAACGTACTCACTGGTTAGGCAACCAAGGAGTTTTACAACAATTATAGCGACGGAGTATTAGGGGGAATCAGAAGTCCAAATAAGCCATCTGACTGGATGAAATTTACATAAAGCGTGAATCAAAACATGAAAACTAGTAAACCTGATCAACAAACAATCGCTGCAGGGCGATCGCTCGTAATCCAGCGGGTAATCGATTGCAAGCAAGATTATTACACGAAGATCAGTGGATGAGAAGATGGCTAAGGATGTCTCAGAGCATGACAGCACTTTCTCTAATAACCTTGCTGTTGTTCGTCTTCTGGCACTCTCACGTCATCAATTTTCAAGATCATGCGAACAACCTGTAATAGCAGTGGTGCAGTGATGAAAGCATAGCAGTTGCAGTTCAGAGTTTGCGAATTGGCCAATTCCCAATAATACGCCGTTTTGAGACAAATGTATTGGAACATTAAGAAGGGTACAACCAGTGAAGAGTGCTGCAGAGCAGCTGTGAGCAAACCAATGCGCAACTCATTTCTTGGGAAAAAATTCAGATTTACTCAGGATTAAAATATTGAATCGCTTAGCCGCCGAGTATGAACCTACATCATATACAAGTCGTATACATGAGGAACTGGCCTACTCAGAAAGTTCAAAACCATACCTGTGTGGCGAGAGAAATCTGTTCCTTCTTCGACAACAAAGTTTCGATGACCTTCTGCTCTTTCATATCATTGGTACCACTGAACAAAGCATCAACCCCCAAATAGGGCTTGCCCATTTCAATTTGCTTTGCCTGGAGAAATCCCTTCCAATCACGACGAGAAAACATGGTTCACTCAGCAAGGAGTGGAATGCGACAAACCTTCAAATCGGTAATTACATCGATAGGGCCCAGTCCGCTGTTCTCAGCCAGCGCCATTGGAATTGCCTCCAATGCGTCGGCAAAAGCACGGAACGCGTACTGCTCAATTCCTTCGATCTAAACATATTCAATGACAAAGTGATAAATGCATTGGTAAACTCATTCTTCTATAAAATAGTCAAGGTACCACACACCACACTTTTGGTCATACTCAAATTCCATCAGCACCTCCTCAAAAGCAGATCGATCTTACCGAATTGTACAAACAGAAAAAAAAATGAAAAAAGGAAACTAATGGAGCTTTGAACACGTAGTCGAACGTTAGCTATGAAACCATTAGCGCCAAAAAAACCACACCACAGATTAGGGCCTTTGAACTGTAGGTACGCACAAGTATGATCTTTGAAGAGAAGAGGAATAAGCTTCACAGTTGTATGTCTTACCTTGTCTGCCTCCTTCGCTACTTCGATAGCGCAGGCTGTCTCAGCCGAACCACCTCCATATACGATGCGGTCATCTCGGACCAAATTACGGATGACGCAAAGCGCGTCATGAAGCGAGCGCTTAGCCTCGTCAATAATCTAGAAAAAAGCACACTGGTGATTACAACATAAATATGTATGGAAGGCAAAGAACTGACAACTGACCATTTTGTTGCCTCCGCGGACAAATATAGTAACTGCTTTGCTATTTGGGCACTGTTCAACGGACAGCATGCGGTCTCGTGCGGTTCCGAACGTGATCTCACGCACGAGGCCTGCGGAGCCGAGTTTTTCAGGAGTAAGTTCCGAGAATCTGAAAAATTCCAAATTACACTGAAGCAGATAAATGAAACTCTCTGAATGAGAGCTTTTCATCACCTCGGTACAATTCGACCATTTGTAGCGATAGCCAAGAGCTCTATTTCAGGTCCTCCTACCCAGCGAACAGCTGGAAGTTGATGATGATGTAACAGATGGTTCGCTTCATCGTCGAATCCCCACTGGCAGATTGCCAAAGTGGCACCACTATCTTTGACCTAGAACAGGCAGGAAAACGTTAAATAGGCGTGACACGAAATGATATTCCGAAAAGCGCGTTCACCGAGAGGCTGCCCACAGAAACCAATCCAAACCAGTTTGACACTGTGACGTTATCACAAAGATTATT